TATTGCTATATACTGGTTATTTGATTTTGTAGTTACGGTACATATTGCTATTTACTGGTTCGTTGATTTGTTTTGTACATATGTTCATGTCCCCCGTTGGTACAGCGTAAGATTCCGGACTTACAACGCTAAAATCTGAGGTACGATTCTCCTCGGTGGACACATCAAATACCCAAATGTGACTTTATTGCACAAAACAAACCCATATGTCCATGGGTTAAAATCAGTGCTCCATCCATAATTTTTGGGGTTTCAAGGAATCATTTTAAACAGGTAGCAATTCTAAACTGAATGTGGTAGCTGCAGATAAACACCCGAATGGAGAAATAAAGATATTAAGGTCAAAAATAAAGTAGCCATGTAAGTCACCATCAATATGCTTTAGTTGGAAACTTTTCTTGGGGAGCATGCCCCCAAAGAAGTGTGGTTTACTTCCAACTCACCAACCCCCAAACACATTCAAATTTTACGGAGAAATAAAGATATTAAGATCAAAAATAAAGTAGGCCATGTAAGTCGCCATTAATATGCTTTAGTTGGAAACTTTTCTTGGGGAGCATGCCCCCGAAGAAGTGTGGTTTACTTCCAACTCACCAATCCCCCCAAACACATTCAAATTTTACTTCCTACACCTAGAATATAAGATAATTTCTGAATGTTTTTTGTTGTTGTTGTTGTTGTTTTATACAGTTAACATCATTACAACAATGTACTTTGATTTTTACTGTGCGTCCAACAATGTTATGTTTTTTTGGATTTCTTTCTATACACCCAGTATTATTATATTAAGGTTCTTTAATTTTCTGTATTTATTCATTCATCCAACATTTTTAGATTTAGTTATAAGTTACGTCAAAATGAAAGCACAATTTTTCGCTATGAACAATTAACGCATATAGTAACAACCTGGTTCTTTGATTTTCTCTGTTCATCCAACACTGTTACATTAGGATTCTTTGATTTTTTCTGTCGTCCAACGTTGTTACTTTAAGGTTCCTTGATTTTCTCTGTTCATCCAACACTGTTACATTAGGATTCTTTGATTTTTTCTGTTCGTCCAACGTTGTTACTTTAAGGTTCCTTGATTTTCTCTGTTCATCCAACACTGTTACATTAGGGTTCTTTATTTTCCCTGGTTATCCGGCTACTCTTTTACCAACGAACAGTGGTTTTGACCATCACATTATAACGCCCCCACGGCTGAAAGGGCGAGCATGTTTGGTGTGACGGGGATTCGAACTTGCGACCCACAGATTGCGAGTCGAGCGCCATAACCACCTGGCCGGATGTTGACTATGGTGATTATACAAAATATAAAAGAGTCATATATCATCAATGTTGGTGTGTAGAAAAGACTAACTTAAGAAAATACTGGTTGTCGAGTAGAACAATGTATAAAGATGTAGTGTGTGTGAAAAAATAATAAAATGATCAATTATTACATATTGTGGAAATATAAAGAACATGAAAGAATACTAATAATGTTTATTGAGTAAAATCAAGGGATTTGAATGGAACGATATTTTGATGTTAGTTGTATCGAAATAAAATAAAGGATACATATCTTATGATTTAAATTGTAACTAAGTATAACAATGTTGACTGTAGCAATGTTGACTGTATATATAGAGAATTGAATAAACCAAGTTGATAAAATCTGCGTTGATTATTTACAGGGAAATTTTACGATTTAATGATGCAGGACGTAGAGAAAATTCCAATAATAAGTATATTATGATGTAAATTGTAACTTGATGTAACAGTGTTTTCGTTGGTAAAAGAGTAGCCCAAGAGTTGGCGGTGAATGGTGATGACTAGTTGCCTTCCTTCTAGTCCTACACTGCTAAATTAGGGACGGCTAGCGCAGATAGCCCTCGTATAGCTTTGCGCGAAATTCATAACAAACAAACAGTCAGACAACATATTCCACAACCTTAAGTTTAAAAAAATTACTTAAATTATATAACCAAAAACTAATATCTGTAACATGAAAAAAATAAAATAGTTTCTTTATACAATTGTAGTATATAAATATACTATACATTTCTACCTTCCTATTTTGGTAGAGTATTATTCTGAATTTATCACTTATTCTGTATATATGTGTAGTTTTCACATAACACATGGTCAAGAGTCATGAAGTTGATGTCATTATAGTTGCCTTTGTTCCTTGTCATTCTATTGAGATCACAACTGTTCAGCGCATGGCTGTGATGCAACACATTGTACAAGAACGCAGACAGTAGTGTTCTTCAATGGTAGTTCATATAGAATGTTGAGCTTTATGGCCTCCCCTATACATGAATGAGAATGACTAGTCATTCTGGGTAAATCCAACATTGCTTTTAAAGTAAGTAACACTGAATTTAAGTAGCCTCATAGATGATTTTGACCTGATCAGTTGAGGATGACCAATCCAGTAGAAGTGATCAATCCATATCTAATAAAGTAAGTATACAATGTGAAAAATATTGTTTGCTTGTTACCTCTGCAACCAAAGGTGGACAGAGTTTATGTTTTCACCCCTATGTGTGTTTATTAGCAGGATTTCTCGAATTTGAACGAAAGTTGGTATACATTTGGACTACGACCAAACTTAGAAGTGATTAGTGTTTGGAGGATCAAGGTCAGAAAAATCCAAACAATCTATCTGTTAATATGTTGATCAATTTTTCAAACTATTTTTGCTCTATAACTCAGTAAAAAATGATCGGATTTTGATGAAACTTGGTGGACATATGTAAAATATTATCCTCCATTGTCCTGCTCAAAATGGTCCATGTCTGTTGATAACGACGGACATACAGACATATTTTTGTTTTATTGAGAGCCGAATATGATCAATGCTACGTGGCGGTGGTATGTGCTCCACTGGGTGCTCCTTTAATATTTTACATTGTGTTCAGCCTCTTTTATTTAGCTTTGATCACCCTGGTTACTCAGAAAGTCAGTACTATTTCATAATAAATATCTTTTCAGACTTTCTGTTATTAAGCAGACCTGGTTTGGCACGACCTGGTGGTTAGGGCACTCCACTCACAATCTCCATCATACTAAACATGCTAACCCTTTCAGCCATGGGGGCATTATAATGTAATGGTCAAGTAACACTTGGTTAAAGAGATGGCAGTGGGTGGTGTTGACTAGCTGCCTTCCCTCTAGTCTATCACTGCTAAATTAGGGACGGCTAGCACAGATAGCCATTATGTAGCTTGGCGCAAAATTTAAACCAAACCAAACCACACTAATCAGACCTATCCCATTACTCTAGTTTCACCTGAATATGAAATGGTTGTCGAAGAGAGCTTTTGGGTCTGGGAGAAGTCCTCTTCTGAACACTAAAATTTTGATGAAGATTTGAAGGTTTATGACTTCCATCTCGTTACAACTGACAACTTCAGAAGAATAGCCACTGATGTCTAGTGCACCCAGAATGATACTCCACGTTCTTTCTTTGAGGATCATCACTGTGACGAGGTATCTGGTTAATCTAAAGCCAGGAGAGGTAGTGTGTGTATAGGACTCACTGACCTTCGCCAGCCAGAATAACCCAACTTTGTTAAAGTCACTCAAAAACTATGAGGAGAAATTAAAGGTGTCATTGTTGGATAACATCCAACAACAGGAATGATTTCACTGGGAGATTAGATGGCAGGCACAAAATAGCGAAGAAGGTGAACCAAGTGGCAGTGATTAAAGATTGTTGCCATGATGTGGTGCCTGGCAAGTCTGAAATTGGGTGGGGTGGTCTATAGATGACTCCCAGACCTTGAAGCCATCCAAGAACGTCGAGAAGAGACTGGAGGTGCCATTGATGGATGACATTGCCAATAGGAGTTTTCTCACCAGCAGGTGATATGGTGGGTACCGAATGATGAAGCATAAAAACCACGTAGCAGTGATGAGCCTCTCTGAGTTAAGAGGTATGTATACTGCTGAGGCAACCATGGATCACAGAGGAGCCTGGGGTTGTCATTCAGAGCCAATGGATGAGCTTCTGACAGCAACTCGTTGCTCAGTTATTCTGGACCAGGGATTGGCTACTTGAACAAGAGATGGAATCCTTGAGTGTGCATACAATGCTGAGTCCATGACATTGAAGACATCTTGGTCAAATGATGGCCAGGAAGTAAAAAGTGAGTCGTTTTGGCCATGAATACGTACAGTTCACCACGAGTGAGGCAAAGTAGATCATCTCTCTCCCAACATTCAGTGTACAGCCAAAGGCGATTTAGACTGTTTCAGGCAAGTACCTGTCTGAAAAGCTGAATTTCAGAACATGTTGTGCAATGCCCATTACTGAGTTTCGATGATCTAGTCCTAGATTTCATCAAACACATAAGTGAGAAGCAACTTTGGAACTGTGAGGCAGTCATTACCGAGTTGCACTAGATGTTCAACCCAGTTGAAAATAGAGTAATCCAACATGCTGAGTTAAAGGCTTGGAAGAAGGGTCATCATTTGTGTCGTAAGGCTGACCCTGTAATGACATCAGTGAATCACACGGATATCTTCAGAGAGAAGTTCATGAAGAGGTTAAACAGTGATACAATGTGGCATATAAGTTTGAGAGATTTTTTTCACCCTTACAGGGGCAGTTTCTGTGGTGATGTGGTATGAAGTGGTAACTTCAAACTTGTTGTCAGAAAGGAGGGAGCACAAAGCAGTAGCTGTAGTGACTTCATCTTAGACAAACCATACTACCCAGACAACCATATTGTGCCAGGTTTGAGTTCGACAAAAAGTTAAACGACAACCCACACAGCTCTGTAATGCAATCACACTGGTATAAAGTGAATGGATAGGGGTATCCAGTCTTCTAATGATACACATGCCATTGATGCTTATAAGCAGACACTGTCCTAGAAGGGAAAGTAAAGCATACTTTGCCTATGAAATATTGGATTACTTTCAAATAACCTCCCCATACCTTGATGAAGAACAAAATGGAAAATGCTATCACTTTTGATTGATGACTCAGCAAGTAAAGGAGAACCAATACCAAGTGCCAAATATTGCTTCTACAGCTCCAGAAGGCCTGGCTACTGACTTGGGTTGTGCATCAAACAACTTGCACCAAAAAGTGTGGTAGTAAGCCCAGGACTTAGGTTCTATATTATAATATGAGGATAAGAGACATAATCATGGTTGATGCAAAAGTGATCAGAACAGTAGGCATTCTTGGAAAAGATGTACCATGGAGCATATTTAGTCAATTTTACCTGTGTAACTGGTGAACTTATGTTCCATAGGATAATTATCCAATGTCAGCCATTACTGACTCCAGAAACGATGTATGTGAGAAAGGAAGTCACAGTATACCCATGGATATAAGTGGTGTTCTTTGGCTTACTATGGTTGAATTCTGGTGTAACAATAATACGTAACAACATTATAGAGTCCATGCATAAAATAAGCTGTTTACTATCCAGAAAACAAGTATTACTAGCTTGGGAAGTTATCTGTTTCATAAGGATGAATTTCTGGTGTTTTGTTAGAAATTATCGATGTTAAGTTATTCAGCTAAGTGCTGGAATGGACATCTGTATGGTAAGCGGAAGTAACCAATCCTAGTGGTAATGCTATGGTTGCACATATTGCAATGTGTCTGAAAGCAAAAAACATGGTTATAAACATATTTGAGATTGATAGTTCAGGACTGTGCAAAGAATGTGGACTCAATGCAGCAGTAGTAACTCATAGACCATAGTTCAGATTGGGGAACGTAGCATGAATTAATGTAACCTAAAGCATTTTTACAAGCAGTTAAGAGAGCAGAAATATTTGTTCTACCATTGTTGTAAACCAGTGAACAGTGGCTTTCTAAGCTTCTGTTACAGCTAACGATTTCCAGAGCTTTGAAGCATAATATTCTCTAGACTTTTTCATAACACAAACACTGGAAGATAACAAGGTGTTAAACACACACATTAACACTCAATGGTAATTTTTCCATACTCATTTGAATTGAGACATTCAGTGTTGTGTGTAATAAAGATGCCACTTTACCTTCTCATCTTCACTCTAATGTTTAGTGGAACAGATAATAAAGACTATAAAGTGTTAACATTGATCAAATCTACTGTAATGAACACTTATCCGACATCATGATGGTGTATTATGCAACTGAACAGTGATTGACATGTTTACTAAATGTGCTCCTTGTAGGTATTGTGTATGGGCCTTCACCTAGAGAAGACGTTCCACAGTGTCCACAAAAATATGTGAAGCAGTTAAAATTTGCAGTAATTAATGTGTAAGCTTGCACTTTAACAGCTAGGGAAGACTATCTTATGACAGAAGAGGTGCTACAGTAAGACAGTGAAAGAATGGATGTGCCAGAATAGAGACTGGGTGCGGGATTGATATATACTGGCATCACAGAAGCATCTGGACTCTAGAACAAAATACTTTATCTTGTGTGCCAACAAGTCAGTCCACTGATGTGTGAGTTACAGCAGTCAAGGGCACATAAAAGCATCTGGAATACATTGACCATATTCATCTATATGTGACTGATGAACTTATTGTGAATTGCCTTGACCAAGAGTCAGATGAGGAGGAAAACATTGTTTTATCCCACTCCAATCCTAAAGATGAAAAAGAACTGAGAGTTCTTGTATGGCTGTTCAAGAGAAATCAGATGAAAAAGCACCAGATCTAAAGACAAGTGATGGTTTCAATAGTTCATGCTTAGCGAGTTATTGGGTGGTGTTATAAGGAATAACGTATGCACAACACTGCATGATTACCACTTGATCATTAAACAGCTAAGAAAGTTGTTTGGAGAAGAAATAATTATTGCAAGGAAGCGGAATTATTTGTTTTCCATTGATCACGAAATCAGCTGGACTGAATGGGCTTTGTGACCCTTACTTTCGAGCTATGGAACAGTTTTACTATAAGAGCTATCTATAGGACATTGGATGATGGTTGCTTTATTAATACAGTTAGGATGGCTGATGTTTGTAAAGGTAATACCTAGACCGTCAACAGTTTACACAACTGAATGATGGCTATAAGTTAGAAAATTTACCTGAAAGGGCTTTGTGATCCTGGCTTTATGAGCTAATAAGTTTGAATTGTTTCAAGAGAATCACTTATCTGATCTAGCTGGGTGGTGTTAAGTCTACACAGAATACTGTTTGATCCTCACTAGATAGTTTCCAGTATATCTGAAGGAAATATAATTTCTCCAATATGTATTCGTCTGAATATATATTGATATATAGTGTAGTAACAGCACAAGTAGTAATCATGATTTATGAGAATTTTAGCTGAAACGTTTTAGTTTAGCTGAATCCTAGAGGTCATTAGTTATTTTGTAATGCCTAAAAAGCAAAACTTGTTGAGTTTGATGGCTCCTAGATGGTAATACATTACTGTACATTGGCCATTGAAATGCAGCCTGCTTGATGTAATGGTTGATTAATAGGGCTTTTTTGTGCAATGCACTAGACCTATCTGCACCAAAGAAGTAATTTTAAATTTAGGTAGAAAATAAGTAATGTAAATTATGTAAAAATGAAAATAAGACAAAAAAGATCAACGTTTTTATGTACAAAATTAAATAAACCTTAAAAGGTCAATGACCCATAAAAATCTATAAACATGATCAATCTGGACAACGCCTAATGTTAAAGATAAACCAAGAGATAAAATATAACTAAAAGTATGTCACTGCTAGCAATCATAGCGATGGCATGAAAGTAAATTTGTGCGTAATTGTGACTTAAATGTCACAAAAGGCACACATTGGCGGATTATTCTTTGTAAAAGAAAGCTATGGGTGAAGAAACTGTGACCAATGATGGGCCTAGGCAAGTTCTTCTCTCCGATTCTTATAGAAACTGAATGGCCAAACAATAGCAACCGCTTTAACTGCCAACTAGCGTGAAGCTTTGTCTTGATGACAGGTTAGAAGACCACATACGGGACAGGCAGAGCTGCGACAACACCAGAGCAGATACATTTAGCTGCAGTGTCAGGAAAAGTATTCCCCATGAATACCAACATGACCAGAAATCCAGAAAAACTAAATGGAGATGAACAATAAAGAGAAGTGGCCTGATCATTTCTGAATATCCAAGAGAACAAGGTGAGAACTCATATTAAGCGATTCCAGGGCCTTCAGAGAGCTAGGTGAGTAAGTATAGATCGTACACTTAGTGGACTGCTTAGTTTTCACATGATCCACGACAAGTAAAAAGGCATATAACTCAGCAGAGAGCACATAGTCTGTAGATTGGAACCTGTGGGCAACCACTGAGCCACAGTAACCATGGAAGTGTCCACAGAGTCACCAGATTTCGAACTATATGTATAAAGGAAAACAGAAGAATGGTTCAAATAATGTCCATGAAAAAGAAACTGGAACTTCCAATTAGGAGTATCTAACCTCTTCAGATGATTCAAAGTAAGGTCACAAATGAAAATATTAACCAACCACCACTGTGAAATTATCTCTGCAACAGATCCCAATCCTGAAGCAGCATTGCCAGGAGATGGATTCAAATTGGGCAGAAGCTGTGGCCTTATGTAATCAAAATGATGACTGGTTACATTGAAGAGAAACTCTAGCCTACTGACTGAAAGAATAAGAAAGAAATGGCACAAACAAGAATGGCTTTAGCCCACAACATGATCAGTGCCACTACTGCAGCTAATCAAATGTCAACTGCCATTTTAGAGGGTCTGCTGACAGGGTTGAAGTGAAGGAATTCGATTTCATGCTTGCCCTTGGGTGTATCTATTTTGTATACGTTATTTGCTTTGTTTATTCACGTGAGTGTGTATATTGTATGTTATACTCTGCATCTTTCCTTTATTTATCTTATATGCTAAAAGTTTATTCTTCTTGTGTTAAATTTTGCCTTATAATTTTGTGATTTAGTTTAAAGGGTATTCCATATTTGGTTTAACGTATTTCACAATATATCTTTGCAATATGTGGAAAAATGGTTTTACTTAAGTCACTGTATGATTTATGTTACTAAAGGTTCTATTTCATTTTAAGGTTAGATATTTAAGTAACTCATACAAGCTTTATCTGTGTTTGAAGGGCCTGATTTTATGTTTTAAAGTGTATCAGGGCTTGTTTTAAAAGATCTATTTCAGTTTTTAAGGTTATATGTTTAAGTAATTTGTATAAGCTTTATCTAAGTTTAAAAGGACTGATCTTGTGTTTGAAAGTGTGTCAGTGAATAACTTGTTTTAATTTGTGCTTAACGTGAGAATTAACATTTTATGTCAGTGATTTTGAGAAGTATTGACTAGACTTGTTCAAAAGTAGTTTTCATTTATGAAGCAGAACTGTATATCATTGTTAAAGGATATACTTGTAATGTTTACAAACATATACCTTGTTATAGAGTTAATTTTCTTTGGTGTAAAATATAATATAGACTTGTACCTGTTTTCTTCGTTCAGTAAAGTAATACAGATAAGAAATGGCATTGATTAATGTCTATAAATCGTGTTTAAATTATACGTGTGGGATGTATATTCACTTTATGTAAAAACATTACTCTTCATTTCATATATATTGGTATGGCATTAGCACCGTCACTTCATTCATCGTTCAAGGGTGTTATTTGATGTACAATTCCTCTATGGTAAAGGTGATTTCTAGTGACTTTATTGATACAGGGTTGATTTTTGTATTTATTTAGTTTTGTTATTAAAGATTTTTTTTGCTGTTTACTAAAATGCGAATTGGTATTTCCTGTTGTGAACTTTGTGATTGTGTGCTACCATCTGTCTTAAAGGGTACTTGATTATGTACAGTGTTTGTTATTAAATGGTTATTACTTGGATAATATTGTGATAATTAACAGTTTGTTTGTTAAATGGACCTTGTTTTAATGATATTGCATTATTTATTTAATCGTTATATCATCCATGTTATAAGTAAGTATTCAAAGGGCCGAGAAAAAGTTAACACATTCCTTGGCCAGACTGAAAGTTTAAATTTTATTGGTTTTAAAGTTTTGAAATTAAATTTAATTGTTGGCTTGAGGGCAAGCTTGAAGTAGGAGAGAAAGAGGAAAGTGTATTAGACATTTATTCTGACTTTAACACTTATTCTGTATATGTGCAGTATATGGTAAAGAAAGTTATTAAGGTAATGTTGTTTCTTGTCCTTGTATTGAGGTCACATTTGTTCTGCTCATGGCAAGAAAGTAAACAGCAGTGTCCTTCATTGGTAATTCAGGTGGTATTCTGAGGCTATAACCTCCACTATGCTTGATTGAGAATGATCAATAATGGGGCTAGTGAAGTAAGAAAGGTTGAATTTAAACAGTCTGATAGATGATTTTGGCCTCATCACTTGAAGATAACTAATCCAGCAGAACAGAGCAGTCCATGTCCGTGAAAGCATGTGTACACATTGTGTTTGTGTCTCTGAATAAATAAATATTGTCTAATTCTATTTTACATTGTGATCAGCTTCTTTATTTCGTTCTCAAGAACTCGGTTACTCAAAACTTCAGTACTAATTAGTAATGAATATCTTGTTGAATCTTCTGTTATTAAATGGTGTTATTTCATTGCTCTAAGATTAACTGGTTTAAGGGAATATACAACACAATCATAAAAGGGATTTCTTTCTTTGTACACCATCCACTAAAACTAAGAAACATATAAGCAGAAACCAAAAAACAAATATGTTTGTGTTATTTTATTTTTGTAAACAATTCTCCCTGATATTTTCTGTAGCTCATATGACTACCTTCTAATAAATGAGATCAATGTTTGCCTTGATTTACTGAAGGTTCTCCAAATCATTTCAGATAGTGTGTAAGGCATATTCGGAATAAAAGTTGCCATAAACATCTATTTTATAAAATTAAAACACTCGACTATATAGAAATATTTGAGAAATAATGCTGAAAAAACTCACTTGGCATTGACGATACAATCATATTCGTGAACACTATTAGACTCGAAAACTGAAAAGGAACAGAAAAGTGTTATTCTTATCATATATTGACAGATGGTTACTACGTGTATCTTTGAGAGATATTAAAACTTTTCTGTCTGTACGTCTTTTATTAAAATTAAATATTGGAAATCAAACTCATAATGATACCATTAAGAACTTTTTAGATCATTATTGAATTAGATAAGCTTTCATTTTAAGAAGTTGGTGTATTGACTACAACTCACAACAAATTTGAATAGATTAAGTTGTTAAAAAGTCTTACTAGCACGTTAACCCTTTAGTTATTTTGGCAAAGCATTTAATTGCCTAATACGCTGGAAGTCCAAGAGTCAGTAATGCTCATGGGTTATACGAAAATAGTATTATCATAGTAAGATGTAAAGATTGGATGAAGTGGTTGAGTTAATTAGAATACGTTTATATGGATGCACAAAATTCAACAAAACCATCTTAATTATATAATGCATAATATGTATCACTTGATAAAAACTAACTTCAGCACGAATGTGTTATCATAACATAGCAATTATAACCCGAGCAAAAGGTGAGAGATAAGTTATAGGAAAAATATTTACCATCAAGTTAAGTACTAAAACTTACAGCAAAGGTTTGATTAGAGTCTCTCCCATAATTGGATGTAGAATAATACTGGATATTTTCTGGGTCACCCTCTCGATCTCGCCATTCTGCTCGCTGTAATCGTAGGCGTGATTCTTCAAACTTATACATTGCCTCTATCGCCTGAAAAATTAATAACAGATGAGGAAAAATGATCTTGTCAGACAAGTGGCTGCCTTATTGTTAAAGGTTGGATATTCACCAAGCAGTTGCTTGTGATACGTACAAATCATGCACTGACTTGCATTGTATACATTTTACATTCACCTATAGGCACGAAAAACAAATTTAAGGAAACGAATCTTTTAAAGATTTATTCAAACTTTATGTTAAAAACTTGCATATCTTATTATCTTTACCCTTGCCATCCTTATTGCCTGTTATTAAACAGGTTAAAACTTTGATCCCTCTTGTAACACTTAGCCTAATTGTGGTGGTTTGCAAGTGCATACGACATCTAAAATTTTTTTCCTTCTACGAGGTTTAGATTGCAGGACTTTCAGACAGAAGATAATTTTCATATACTACAATCATATGAGGCACAAAGCTTTAATGTTTTATATAAAAAAAGATTGGTAAAGAAAGGAAAGCAGGGTATAATTTGTGTCAAAAGTTTTGCATAGCAGCAACTGCTACACAAAATATTGCACAGCAACTGGAAATATCTGAATAGCAATGAACCAGCAGGTGGCTACCACACTGTCTCAAATTGCACGAATCTTGATAAAAACGTTTCAAAGACTTTATTTGTGGTTACTACACGTACCTATATTTCTTCTTTTATAAAACTTAAGTACTGAAAATCAGATTTATGATGATGTTAGAGAGAATTTTTTAAATGGATACTGAATTAGATAAACTTTCATTTTAAGAATGTGTTATCAAAACACAATGACAAAAGTGATAAAAAATGTTTTTCTTTTATACAGCATCCACCGAAAAACGTAGAAACAGAATTAGTAGAAACTGGAAAATAAGTGTGTCTGCATCAATTTATTTTTGTAAACAATTCTGTCTGAGATTTTGTAGCACAGATAACTATTATTGGATTCAAGTTGCATTTCCTTGACATAGTTTGACTAATACCTAAGCTATCCAAAAGACACTTACCTAAGTATAACAAAAATTACTATGAAATAAAACATTAAAAGATATTTCAAATTACCATGGATTACTCAACAAAACAATAAAGATGACTTCATCATTTGAAACTCCTGTAAGTTTTGTTAATATGTACTTAGAAGGAAGTGGCTATATTTAGATATGAAAAATACTTTTGAGCATTTATAATAAAAGTAATTTAAAATTATGGTATAAGCACTAAAACTTGTGTTGAAGTCTGTGCTCCGCAAGAATGAAATATAATCGCGAATAAGGCCTACTTGGATTGCAAAGTGTAAAGCGAAATTCCTTGTCCCCTGAAGGTATGATTTAAGCAAGAAAAACAAACTTCTAGATGATAGGCTACCAATTAAACGTGAAGGTAGTGAAGAAAGTTAAACAGTTTGTAAGCCAAAGGCACAGCGGTCAACTATAGGTAAAGTAAAAACTTCCCTTGGAACTGTAAATAAAATAGTTCACGTGGAGTTAGGTCTACAGAAGTGACACAAGAACTGTATTCACAAGCTTCTCCCAAAGCACACAGCTGAAGAGAAACCAACTGTTGAATACTGTATTAGCATGTCTTCACATCAGACAACGAAATGTCTACTTAGCCAGAAAATTAGCCTGATATTATGAAGAGTTCATCTTGGCATTGTTCTTGGTTCTTCGGGTGTTTAACTTACCATTATAGCCATAACCTGCAATCACCAAAAATACCTTAGAAAAACTTTCCTGACAAACTTGAATGCAATAACACCAACAAAACTATAATAAATTGCCCAGACGTTTGTATACATAACTACTAAGCCACAAGAAAATATTATCTTTGTATGGATTGAATGCCAATAAAAAATGGCTTCATCAAGACCAGGCGTCCAGTTACATGTCTGAATCAATATGCTAGCTTCTCTATCAAGTACTAATGGGGAATTCATTCTAAACGGTCATAATATAGGACATAATTTACCGATTTTAATATAATATAAATACCACGAAAATTAACTAATCTTATGTTTTATTATATTTGTTCACCGTTGTACAAAAAAAAGTTTAGCAACAGAACAGCTTATGTTTAATTTTCCTCCTGTTTTTAGGAATATCTTGCATCACGCACTGTAAATATTCTACGGATGTTATAGCAACCAATTATTATAAGTCTTGATATCCAGTTACAGTGGATCGAAGTTGCACTTCCTTGGTATAGTTTGACTAATAGTTGAGCTATCCAAAAAACACTTGCAAAAACAAAAACAAAGGCTACTAATTAAGCCATTAAAAGAAATTCTAAATGACCGTGCGTTACTGAATAAAGCAATAATCAATTCTTCATCATTTACAGTCTCTAAGTTTACTTGATATTTTTACAACTTTAGTTTAATACCAAGTGATAAAACTGCATCTTCCAACTAAATACTATTGTGGTATGCATGAATGTCGTGCATTTTCTGCCATCTTATTTTAATGTATATATATTTTCAAACTTTTTAATTTACTCTAGGGATGCGCAGTTTTCACATAACAAATGATCAAGAAAGTCACTAACTTATTTTTGTACTGACTACCTTTCATTCTCTGACATTCCCAAGAGATAACGCCTGGTCTGCCCATGGAGATGCAGCTTGTGAAGTAGCAATTTGTTTTTTATGTTAAGTTATGGTTTTCTTTATCGTTTATGTATTTTTCCTTCAATTGTTTGGTTCAGATATGTTTTTATTTGCCATAATTTCTAGCTTACATGTCTCCTAGTATTTAAGAAATTGTCAATGAATGTTTTTTATATTAAAACAGACACGAGTTTCACCTAGCAGTGATGTATGGATACTAAGTTCGTGTATGATCTTGTGAAACAAGTGTTGCTAGTCACGTGATATGTATTCTGATGGTCTAACAAGGAAACATAACGTTTTACCATTTGATGTTAGACTGTTGAGAGCTGTGAGACCGTGTTATGTAAGTTATTGATAAAGCTACACAATAGACTATGTGCACTCTCTTCACTGTGTGGAATCAAACCCTGGATTTTAGAATTATAAGTCTATATCCTTAACATTGACCCACCAGGAGGCGTGTTACTAAAATCTATTTAATTTGTAAAATACATATATTAAATAGAATAGTCACTTGATCCTTATTTGCGATATAATATTTTTTTAGAAATATTCAGTAATGTTATTTTGAATCATTTTTTCGAATCAGATTTTTCTTCTTCTGGTTCTTTTTTTTCATTCATTATTATCTTGTGAGATTTGATATTAACAACCAGGGATGGAAATAAGGAGTACTCCATACCCCTAGTTCCTGAAGGCTGAAATGAACCTTTACATATATTATCGTACTGTGAGAATACAATGAGGCATTAACCGAATCAGTGTCAATATTTTCTCATTGTTGCATATCTGACAAGATTGACCAAAGATGTGGCTTCTCAATGGCAGAAGGCGTGCTGGAGAAACTGCATGTAGGAAGAAAGAGAGAGTGAATGAAGAAAACACTTACTACAAATAGTTGTGGGCCAATTTCCGAGATATTGTGGGGTGTTCCATTTGTCATTTTTAGGAGATTTTTTTGTAAGTAAATAATCTCTAAATATATGTTGATTGGTTTATTCTAGTACAAAGCTTATGCCACAAGCACAGTTATCGAAGAGAGATAACTGAAGAATTTCATTAATTATTATTCATTTGAATATTTGTTGGCAGACTCCTGAAATAATTGAATAATTATTACATTTTTAAAGTGGTTATAGGAACATCCACTTCTCACATCCAACAGAAATTTTATTTCACAGGAGAAACTAGGCCTATTCTTTATGTTCATATCCAAAATAGATATATTTTAAATTTTGATTTCATGCTTGTCTCTTTGTAGTTAAGCACAAAACTACACAATGTGCTATTTGTGCTTTGCCCATTACGGGTATCGAAACCTGGTTTCTAGCGTTGTAAGCCCGCAGACATACCATTGTGCCGCTGGGGGGGGGGGGTTGATTTAGTGTCAAGTGACTTATTTTGTAATTTTAGTTTGTATTTTGCGTTATGTTATAGTTGTAATTTCGGTATGTGTACTTAAAAAGTTTTTTCTTTCATTTTGTGTGGATTGTGTTGGAAGGTCACGCTATTTTTTTCTGCAGGGGTTCGTTTTACTTAAAATTTTTCGAAGTTGATTTTGATTTGTAACTATTATGTCAGTATTAAAGGATATCATAATATGCATTATTATATCTGTGATATATATCTTAAACTTTATTCTATTTAAATTATTGTTCGTGATAAAGGGTCTATTTTTCTCCGATTAGTTGTCCTTATTATTATTTTCAGACTTCAATCTGATATGAAGTTTATCAATTCTTGTAAATCAACGTGTTAAAATATTGGACTACAAACAGAAAAATCCTGAAGTGTAAGAAATTTATAGTATGAAAATTCAAATAAACTGTCCTTGGTTTGGTTTTTGAGTTGAGACTCTTACGTTGATATTTTTAAGCCTGAAAAAAAAAAGGTTTTGGTATAGTATCAGAATAAATAAAACATTAGCCATTCAGGAATTAAGGTAAAAGCAGTAACAAATAGTGTTTTATATAGGTTTTGTTAAAACACACGCCTTTCTGTTCTCCAAACTTGATAGTTTCTGAGGCTATCTAGTTTTGTTAGCTAGCATTTTTTTGTAATTATTAATTATCAGTGAGTGTATTTCTGTACTTTGGTCCCACCTAAAAACTTTTCAATGATGTAATCAAATCCAAATAATCTTTATTGATCATATTATTATCATTTGCAGCTTTGTATCTCATTGGTTGTTGAACATACATCAATGACATGTCACCATGTCAACCACGCCAACAGAATAAAGATCCACACACACATTATTATCAAGACTACTCTCATATTATTGCACACATTAAAAATGTTCTGTATTTCTGGTTTCCAACACAACCTATGTAATTAAAAGAATAATGTGTATCAGTCATTCTAAGCGTGTATACTTGCTAGCTCACATGGAAAACCAATATTTCTTTACGT